GCTCAGTGTGCGATGGGCATCACTCAAGCCCTGACCTGAGGGGGCGGCTCTGTCTCTCGGGGGAGGGGCCTATGGGTGCCCAGTTGGCCTGCCTCAGGGGCGCCTACAATCCACCCCCCCAGTGCTGTCGGGTGTGTTCACGGATGTGGAAGCCTCCCTGAAGGACATCAGAGATCTGCTGGAGGAGGATGAGCTGCTAGAGCAGAAGTTCCAGGAGGCGGTGGGCCAGGCTGGGGCCATCTCCGCCACCTCCAAGGCTGAATTGGCCGAGGTGAGGCGAGAATGGGCCAAGTATATGGAAGTCCATGAGAAGGCCTCCTTCACCAACAGCGAGCTGCACCGTGCCATGAACCTGCACGTCGGCAACCTGCGCCTCCTCAGCGGGCCCCTGGACCAGGTCCGGGCTGCCCTGCCCACACCAGCCCTCACCCCAGGTGAGCCCTGCCCAACCCCATGGGGAGACTCGAGGTGGGGGGTTTCTTGGCCTCACTGATTGCTGCTGCCCATAGAGGACAAGGCCGTGCTGCAGAACCTAAAGCGCATCCTGGCCAAGGTGCAGGAGATGCGAGACCAGCGTGTGTCCCTGGAGCAGCAGCTGCGTGAGCTTATCCAGAAGGATGATATCACTGCCTCGCTGGTCACCACAGACCACTCAGAGATGAAGGTGGGCTGGGTGAGTGGGGTGGAGGGGCTCTGGCTTTGGGCTCCACCCTTAGGACTTGAGGTCCTGAGTGTCACCCCCACCTCTCCCTCAGAAACTATTTGAGGAGCAGCTGAAGAAGTACGATCAGCTGAAGGTTTACTTGGAACAGAACTTGGCAGCCCAGGACCGCGTCCTCCGCGCGCTAACAGAAGCCAACGTGCAGTATGCGGCCGTGCGGCGGGTGCTCAGTGACCTGGACCAAAAGTCAGTGCCCAGCCCTCTGCTCTTGCCCGGAGCCACCTGGTGTCTGCCCCTGTGGCTCACCTCGTGCTGGCCCTTCTGCTCACCAGGTGGAACTCCACGCTGCAGACCCTGGTGGCCTCATATGAAGCCTATGAGGACCTGATGAAGAAGTCGCAGGAGGGCAGGGACTTCTATGCAGACCTGGAGAGCAAGGTGGCCGCTCTCCTGGAGCGCACGCAGTCCACCTGCCAGGCCCGAGAAGCTGCCCGCCAGCAGCTCCTGGACAGGTGGGTGGGACCCTGGGGCTGTGGTGTGGCTCGGGTCCAGACAGGCTGGGCTGATGGGGGCCTGTCCCACAGGGAGCTGAAGAAGAAGCCGCCGCCACGGCCCACGGCCCCAAAGCCACTGCTAGCCCGCAGGGAGGAGAGTGAGGCAGTGGAGGCAGGAGACCCCCCTGAGGAGCTACGCAGCCTGCCCCCTGACATGGTGGCTGCCCCACGACCACCCGACGCCTTCCTGGGAACTGCCACCCCACTCCACTTTCCTCCCAGCCCCTTCCCAAGCTCCACAGGCCCAGGACCCCACTACCTCTCAGGCCCGATGCCCCCTGGTACCTACTCAGGCCCCACGCAGCTGATACAGCCCAGGGCCCCAGGGCCCTCTGCAATGCCCGTGGCACCTGGGCCTGCCCTCTACCCAGCCCCTGCCTACACCCCAGAGCTGGGCCTTGTGCCCCGATCCTCCCCCCAGCATGGCGTGGTGAGTGGTCCCTATGGGGGCATAGGACCAGCCCCACCAGTTGCAGGTCTGCCCTCGGCCCCACCTCAATTCTCAGGCCCTGAATTGGCCATGGGGGTTCGGCCAGCCACCACCACGGTAGACAGCATCCAGGCACCCATCTCCAGCCACATGGCCCCTCGGCCAAACCCCACCCCTGCTCCTCCCCAGCCCTGCTTCCCAGTGCCACCACCACACCCACTGCCCACGCCTTACACCTACCCCGTAGGAGCCAAGCAACCCATCCCAACCCAGCACCACTTCTCTCCTGGGATCCCCACAGGTTTTCCAGCCCCGAGGATTGGGCCCCAGCCCCAGCCCCAGCCCCAGCCCCATCCCCAGCCCCATCCTTCACAAGCGTTTGGGCCTCAGCCCCCACAGCAGCCCCTTCCACTCCAGCATCAGCACCTCTTCCCACCCCAGGCCTCAGGACTCCTACCCCCACAATCCCCTTACACCTATGCCCCTCAGCCTGGGGTCCTGGGCCAGCCGCCACCCCCTCTGCACACCCAGCTCTACCCAGGTCCTGCTCAAGACCCTCTGCCACCTCACTCAGGGGCTCTGCCTTTCACTAGCCCTGGGCCCCCTCGGCCTCCCCATCCCCCACTGGCCTATGGTCCTGCCCCTTCTACCAGACCCATGGGCCCCCAGGCAGCCCCTCTTACCATCCGAGGGCCCCTGCCTGCTGGCCAGCCCACCCCTAGTCCCCACCTGGTGCCTTCACCTGCCCCATCTCCAGGGCCTGGCCCAGTACCCCCTCGGCCCCCAGCAGCAGAGCCGCCCCCTTGCCTGCGCCGAGGCGCTGCAGCTGCAGACCTGCTCTCCTCCAGCCCGGAGAGCCAGCATGGTGGCACTCAGCCTCCTGGGGGTGGGCAGCCCCTGCTGCAGCCTACCAAGGTGGATGCAGCTGAGGGCCGTAGGCCGCAGGCCCTGCGGTTAATCGAGCAAGACCCCTATGAGCATCCTGAGAGGCTGCGGCAGTTGCAGCAGGAGCTAGAGGCCTTTCGGGGCCAGCTGGGGGACGTGGGGGCTCTGGACACTGTCTGGCGGGAGCTACAAGATGCGCAGGAACACGATGCCCGAGGCCGTTCCATCGCCATCGCCCGCTGCTACTCACTGAAGAACCGGCACCAGGATGTCATGCCCTATGACAGTAACCGCGTGGTGCTGCGCTCAGGCAAGGATGACTACATCAATGCCAGCTGCGTGGAGGGGCTCTCGCCGTACTGCCCCCCCTTAGTGGCCACCCAGGCCCCACTGCCTGGCACAGCTGCTGACTTCTGGCTCATGGTCCATGAGCAGAAAGTGTCGGTCATTGTCATGCTGGTTTCTGAGGCGGAGATGGAGAAGGTGAGAGGCTTGGAATGGGTGCCCACAAGGGCAGTGTGGGGTGGCAGGGCAGGGCACCCTGGAAAACCAGCCCTGTCTTGGCTTGTCTGTCCCTCAGCAAAAAGTGGCACGCTACTTCCCCACCGAGAGGGGCCAGCCCATGGTACACGGTGCTCTGAGCCTGGCATTGAGCAGCGTCCGCAGCACTGAAACCCATGTGGAGCGCGTGCTGAGCCTGCAGTTCCGAGACCAGAGCCTCAAGCGCTCTCTCGTGCACCTCCACTTCCCCACTTGGCCTGAGTTGTGCGTCCACTGCTCTGGATGGTGGCTGGGGCTCTGGGGGGGCTGTCCAGTCCTTGGTGCTGGGAGGGGTACAGGCCTCAGATTAGGCCTGGCTCATAGGCCCTTCCCTGCCCCATCCTGTCCCACAGAGGCCTGCCCGACAGCCCCAGCAACTTGCTGCGCTTCATCCAGGAGGTGCACGCACATTACCTGCATCAGCGGCCGTTGCACACGCCCATCGTCGTGCACTGCAGGTAGAGGGTGGGCCTGAGGGTTCCTCCTCCACAGGCTCTTGGCCTGGCCTCATACTCCCTTCTTGGCACAGCTCTGGTGTGGGCCGCACGGGAGCCTTCGCCCTGCTCTATGCAGCCGTGCAGGAGGTAGAGGCTGGGAACGGGATCCCCGAGCTGCCTCAGCTGGTGCGGCGCATGCGGCAGCAGAGGAAGCACATGCTGCAGGAGAAGGTGAGGGAGGATCTGGGCAGGTGGGCTAGGATGGGCCTTCTGTTGCGGGGTGATGGCCCCTGCCCAGATGACCCAGCCAAATGTACCTGTGCAGCTGCACCTCAGGTTCTGCTATGAGGCAGTGGCGAGACACGTGGAGCAGGTCCTGCAGCGCCATGGTGTGCCCCCTCCATGCAAACCGTTGGCCAGCGCTAGCATCAGCCAGAAGGTGAGGAAGGTTCCCTGGAAGCTGCTGGGATGGCCATAGCCTTGGGACTCCCTCTCCTCACCCACTCTGTCTTCTCAGAACCACCTTCCTCAGGACTCCCAGGACCTGGTCCTTGGTGGGGATGTGCCCATCAGCTCCATCCAGGCCACCATTGCCAAGCTCAGCATCCGGCCTCCTGGGGGGTTGGAGTCCCTGGCTGCCAGCTTGCCAGGCCCTGCAGAGCCCCCAGGCCTGCCACCAGCCAGCCTCCCGGAGTCTACCCCAGTCCCATCTTCCTCCCCACCCCCGCTTTCCTCCCCCCTGCCTGAGGCTCCCCAGCCTGAGGAGGAGCCGCCAGTGCCTGAAGCCCCCAGCTCAGGGCCCCCCTCCTCCTCCCTGGAGCTGCTGGCCTCCTTGACCCCAGAGGCCTTCTCCCTGGACAGCTCCCTGCGAGGCAAGCAGCGGATGAGCAAGCAGAACTTTCTGCAGGCCCATAACGGGCAGGGGCTTCGGGCCACCCGGCCCTCTGACGACCCCCTCAGCCTTCTGGATCCACTCTGGACACTCAACAAGACCTGACCAGGTTTCCCCTACCTGGTCCTTTACACTACATCATCTCTCATGCCCACCCACCCACACCCAGCAGAGCCTCTCAGTGGGCACAGTCTCTTACTCCCATTCCTGCTGCCTTCAGCCCTGCCCGGCCCAGCCCGCACCCCTGTGGGGCGGAGACGCACTGCAGGCTCTGGGTCAGGTTCTGCTCCTTTATGGGACCTGACATTTTTCAGCTCTTTGCTACTGAAATAATAAACCACCCTGTTCTGTGGCCCATGTCTGAGTGTGCCCATTGCCACCTCAGCTCCAGTAGGAACTCGGCACTTCTTTTCACGAATGACAGGATGGTACCAAACTGACACGCCACCAGGACAGTTGTTTGTTAAGGGCCCCGCAGCTCTGGCTTGCTCATCTAACACCCTTGCATGCTATACATTTCCTCAGCAGCTCTGTGGAGGATCCAGGCAGGGAGTGTGCACAATTCCAAGAGATACAAGTAGCTCCCAAAGTCCCTTACAGATGTGGTTTTTTAAAAAAGTTTAATATTTCTACATTTAGGAGGCAGCGGCCGGAAGATACTCAGCTCCTTCCCCCAGGTCCAGGTCCGGTGCACTGGCCCCACACAGCACCCCAGCCCCCTGCCTGGGCAGGGAGGCCCCACGCTTAGTCCAGCTTCTCCAGCACAGAGGGCACATACACCAGGCTGAGCTCACTGCCGAAGTTGCAGACAATGGCAGCATTGTCCAGCACCAGGATCTGGCGGGCAGGCTGGGCCTCACTGTTCTTCCCCAGGTAGACTGTCTGTAACAGGTCCCCGTAGTTTAGGTCCCAAAAGGAGACACAGCCCTGGCCGCCAGTCACCAGCAGGTTGTCTGAGATGACACCTAAGCTTGCACCACAGCCAAGGTCCTAGAGGCAAGGACATGACAAGCTCAGTCCTGAGTCCTTCTCTAAAATGCCAAAAATCCTATGACCCTGCCCCCCTACCTGCTGAATGGAGTAGAACTTGATGCCCGTGCTGCGGTCCCAGATGCTGATGAGGTCATCCAGGCCACTGCTGATGACGCAGGAGGTGGTACAGGTCAGGGAGGTGACATCCCCACGGTGAGCAAACATGTGGCTGACCCGGCTACCAGTCAGTACATCCCACAGGCAGATGGCCCCATCTTGTCCTCCACTGGCCAGTACCATGGTCTGGGGAAACAGGCCAGGGGAGGAGGGTCAAAGTGGTGGACTACCTCTGTCAGCTGTGGTGTCCCTGTGCCCTGGTGGGTGGGACCCTTACTTTGCTTCCTGGAAGGCCCCTGGGAACCAGCTCCCAGGAGTCAGCAAACATGGACCACAGGCCTGGCTCTGTACTCCCCTACCCTACCCACAGCCCTCTGCGGGCCCCTCACCTGGTCGATGTACACAGTCGTGATGGCCCCTGAGTGGCCCTGCAGGGTGAAGAGGCAGCACGAGTCCTCTAGACGGAACACCTGGGACAGGGATGGGCCTCAGGTTCTGGCCTCTGGGATTTTCCAAGCCCGGCAAACGCCCTCCATCCTTCACCAGGACTCCACCAGCCTCTCTTTGGCGAATGCACCAGGCTCCCACCCCCTGTGCCAGGCCACTCCAGCACCCAAGAGAAGAGACAATACTCACTCTCAGCGTGTGGTCTTGGCTCCCAGTCACCAAGCGCCCGGCAGCAGCTTTCAACGCTGTGATGGGTTTTTGGTGTGCACAGGGCACTGTGTGGGTCAGGTGACAGGCCACCGTGTCGCTGCTGCTGTACATCGGAGAGGCAGGGGAACTGCCCCGCCCTGAGGTCCCTGAGGACAAATGGCCAAGTGAAGGATCTCTGAGAAGGCAATGGGGAGATGGCCCCTGTACATCCCACCAAGTGTGAACACATGCCCGCCCTGGCCTTCCAACCTCTAAACTGCAGGGGGCTGAGGGCAGTGTGGGTCTCCAAGGAGAAGAAATCAAGGGAACCGTTGAGCCTTGCAGCCACAATCCTGAAAGAGAAAAACAGCTGCCAGGGGCCTGTCCGTCAGAGCCCCAGCCCTGGGGCCGAGCATGTGGGCACAAGAGAGATAAAGGGCCAGTTCAAGAAGGGACAGGAGGGACATGGCCAAAAAGCAAGCACACGGTGCGAGAACTGATGCTGGAGCCAGAGGGCAACTCCAAATATTAACCTCCTTGTGCCTCAGTTTCTTCATCTGTAAAATGGGGATAAGAGTACCCACCTCACAAGATGGTCATGGGAATCAAATGGGCTGACATGTGTAAGTACCTCGTGAACATCACGTAAGCTTGTAAGTTAAAACACCAAAACAAGTGGAGGGCTCCATGTAGCCCGGAGCCAAAGGGAAGGCTGCTGAGGGAAAACAGGAGGCAGGGTGGGCTGTGCTGGGCGCTGGGGTAGCCTGCCTTCTCCATCACACAGAAGCAGCTTCAACCCAAGCACAGCCCACACCAATTCCTTTTTCCACAAAGAAGAATTTTCTCTGCTTCCCGCAATTCGTAGGTCCAGGCTGACAGGCAGGGGTGGGTAAATTTGCCCAGTAACCCATGGGGTTCAAAATCTTAAGGCAGCAAAAAAGGCAATGGATGTCTACAACGTCTGCCCATGGATTTGAAGGGCCCACACCAGACCTGGGCAAGCCACAGTGTATGCCTGGAAGTGGGTGGACAAGGAGAGACTACAGTCACCAGGAACCCTGAGGGTCAGGCTGAGACACTGGGGCTCTTCTTAAAGCTAAAACACGCAGCAAAGGAAAATTTCCAAGGAGCATGGAAGAACCTGGTGAACTTGGCCAGGATGGAGGGAAGAAAGATGTTGGCCAAGGCCTGTGTAAAACCTGAGGTGACAGGAATGGCGGCAGCAGCCACTGGCAGAAATCAACACTAAGGACAAGGGACGCCCCCCCTCCCCAAGGAAAAACAAAGTTTCCAGCTCTAGCTTAGATGGTGCTGCCACCAACAGTCAAGGGGCCTTGAAGGAGGAGCCAGCGTGGGGCAGCCAGGGGAAGATGTTTGGCAGAAGGCACCAGGCCATGGGGGGAGATCCAGCTCACCAGCTCAGAGGTGGGAGCCAGCCCGGGTGGCTGAGACTCCCAAGGGAGTGTGTGTGTAGATGGAGCCCAGGGGACACCCACAGCCGGCAGGCTTGCTGAGGAGGGCAAGGCAAGCACAGCAGGAGCAGGGAGAGTGCAGGGAACAGAGAACAGCCCCCAACGGCCAAGAAGACAGAGTTCTGCAAGTGCCTTTTCCATAACTAAAAATGCAACCAAGATACCCCAAAGGTTCAATATTGACAAGCTTTACAGAGAAACTGGCTTCACTGAGAAGGGCGAGAAAGGACAAGAGTGTCTTGCTCCCCACCGTCACAGTGCTTAAGATCCTGGGAGCTCACCGTGTGCCAGGCCCTATTCCCAGCACTTCACACCCCTAACACTTTTAGTCGTCACCCTCCCATCCAAGTGGACTGCCCTCTGCTCACAGGTGTGGGGCTGGACACCAAGAAGGTCAATCGAGTCAAGACAGCAATGGAAGGGAGCCAGGACTCAAGACTTGGAGAGTATGGCCTGGCCACCAAAGGCTGGGGACATCTGGGGCTGCGGCAGGCCAACTCACCTTTTGTCCAGGAAGACCAGAGCGGTGATGCCTGAGGAGACCTCCTCGCTGCTGCAGCACAGCACTCCTTCAATGGCGTCCCACACCTGCGAGTCCCGAGGCTGTGAGCACCTGCCTGCCGGGAAGGCCCACAATCCCCGGGGCAACAGTCCCTCGGCCCACCTCCAGCCCCTCTGCCCACCTCCAGCCGGCCGCTGCTCCGCCCCACCACGATGAGACCGCCCTGCAGCTCCAAGCTCCAGATGGAACCCTCCGCGCTGGGGGCCCAGGCGAGGGAAGGGGAGCCCTTCTCGGGGGAGCCACCCTCGTCCTCAGGGGCCTGGGGCAGCACTGGCCCAGGCGAGGGTGGGCACAGGGCTGGCGTGCAGACAGCCGCCAGCCCCTCCTCCTGGTACACCCGCTGCACCAAGCGGCTGAAGTCATAGCCTGGGGAGTCCCGAGTGCGGCCACAGACCGCCCGGTGCCGGGGCTCGGGCTGAGTGGGCTCTGAGGGCCGCGGCTGTGCCGAAAAGTTGGTGTCGATTAAGCAGGTGAGGTCGGGCTGGTCCCCGAAGAGGGAAGGCGGCGGAGGGCCCCGGGGTCGGTGTCTCAGGGGAGGGCTGTCCCCAGGCTCCTCTGGGCCAGCCTTCCCACCATCTGAAAGTCGTTCCCAGCTCTCCTGAGCCTCAAGCCCGCTGCCCACGCCACTGTCCCGGCGCTGCCTGCTGGGGGCCAGGAGGGCGGAATGAGAGGGGGTGGGGAGCTGAGAGGGGGTGAGGGAGGTGAGGGGGGTGGGAGGGAATGGGAGGGTGCCTGGATGGGTTGGGGGATATGTGGGAAGGAGAAAGGAGGGGGGATACGTGGGAAGGAGAAAGGGGGGGAATACGTGGGAAGGAGAAAGGTGGAAATACGTGGGAAGGAGAAAGGCGGAAATACGTGGGAAGGAGGGGGGGGAATAAGTGGAAAGGAGAAAGGAGGAGGGATGAGAAGGAGAAAGGAGGGGGGATAAGTGGGAAGGAGAAAGGAGGGGAGATAAGTGGGAAGGAGAGAGGAGGAGGGATACAGGGCAGCGGAGGGGTGAGAGGGTTTGGGGTGGCACGGAAGAGGAGAGGGCAGCCGCACCTACCCTGGGCGCGGGATGCGTGTGAGGCAGTCCCCGGTCTGCGCGTCCCACACGCAGACGTGGCCCGCCAGGCAACAGCTCACCAGCAGCATGCCGTCGCTGGCCAGGCACTCGATGTCCTGTGGGAGCGTGCGGTGTTGGTGCGGGCCAGGACCCGCCCTCCCCCTCCAGGACTGCGCCCCCTCTCACCATGAGGTGGCCGCGCAGCACCAGTGGAACGATCTCTGTCTCGGGTGGTGCGTAGCCGTAGTCGTCGCAGGGCAGCTCCCCGCGCCTCCGCCGCCCCGGCCCACCGCCCGGCTGCCCGTAGTTGCGCGGGCAGAGCACGCGGTAGAGGCAGAGCAGCAGCAGCACCAGCACGATGCCTGCGGCCAGGCCCAGCGCCGCCACCCTGCACGGGCGGGTGGACTACTGCGAGATGCACCCCCAAAGCCTGTCCCTTCCCCCTCCCTCTCCCCTGCTCTTCCCTATCCGTCCCCCTCCCTGCACTCCACACCACCCCATCCTACCCAGCGGCCTTACTTGTACAGCGTGACGTCTCCGTGGGCCTGCACCCCACCTGGACCCTTGGGTCCCGCCTCCCAGTGCCCAGCCGGTACAGGCCCCGGCGGGGGCCAGGCACTACGGCCGTCCTGAGGGTGCCGGCCCTCCAGGGCCTCCCTTGGGTTCAGGCGGAGCGTGACTGGGATGACAGGCAGCAGGCTGATGTACCTGGGTCCGGACAGTGGGCAGCCTCAGCGGGAGGCCTCCCAGGCCAGCCAGTCTCCGCCCTCCTCCCCAGGCAGGGCTCAGCTCCAACAGCCAGACTCTCCCAGCATGGGGGTTGGGGGACAGAGAGGTCCCTCCCCAGACCAGCTTAGCAGCCAACCTTGCTGTCCCAGATACCAGCACCCAAGCAGCCCTTGTGGCCATGTGGGCTACTCCCTCCCCACTCCTGGCACAGGTGGGTGGGTCTCATTCTGCCAAGGGCTGGCAGCAACCGGTGACTCCTCAGAGCAACCTCGGACCCTCTCAGGTTATGGCTGCCTAGAACATCAGTTCCCACCTCACAGCCTGATTGTTTATTAGCAGAATTCAAACCTGGGGGTCTCCTGCATCAGGGAACCGGGATGGTGGGCTGACACCATTGAGTGAGGTGGTGGCACCTGGCACAGCCCAACTCACCTCTTGGCCAGCGTGATGTTGTAATAGCTGAAGAGTGTCGGCCAGTGGCGGAAGGACAATTTCCTCCAGAGTTCCTCATCCTCAGGCCCCCAGGTTACCTCTGGGACTGGGCTGTCATGGACGACCTCTGCTGGACCTCCATGCTCAGGTGGCTCGCCTGGCAACGTCTGGTTCTCAGGTAGCTTAGGGGCATCAGGTGGGAAGATGGAGAAGGCAGGGTCCGGGTGGCTGGCAGGCAGCATGTTGCTAGGCACAGGCAGGGGAGCCAGGGCTCCCTCACCCAGTGGGCTCTGTTCCGTCACCTGGGCAGCGAGGTAGGTGCGCAGCCCTGCTGGGTCTGTGTACACCAGGATGCCAATCCAGACAACGGTGCCAGCCTGCAGGGGGGTGGGGGTACTCAGTGGGGCCCCTGGAGGAACATGCCCTAATCCCCAGCAGCTTCAGCCCTCATGCTGGGAGGAAGGAGCATAGGGACCTGAGGCCTGGGGATGGAGAGAGGACACAGGCCCATTCTGTCCCTTCTTCCTGCCTCTCCAAGTCCTCCTGCTAACACCTGCCAACATTTGCCACTGGAGGGGCCTGCTTCCCTTTCCACATTTAGGGGCTGAATTTCTTGGCCTGGAAATACACTGAAGCACCCTGAGGTTTGACACAGAATGCCCCCGCCCCTAATCTCCACCTCAGCTGGTGCCGGAAAACTGCTACCATTCCTATGGTCAGCAAGGCCACAGGGCCAGCTGCCTAATCTGCTCCAGACTCCCCAGGGGCCCTCAGCCTTCCTCTCATCTCACTTCAGCTCCCTGGGAGAGGCACTGCAGCCCCACAGCCAGCCCAGCCTGGCTGGTGACGGATTTTGCCCAGCACTTTCCAGCGTCTGCACACGATGCAGCAGCTGATGAACCCGACCCAGGGAAATGTGGTGGCCACAGGTGGGTCCATCTCAAAGCACTCGACTAGCAGGCTCTTGTCCTGGGCCATTCTGGGGCGAGGACAGCTCCTGTACCTGCGAGCCCTGGAGCTGCTTCTCCCACAGACAGGCTTGTCTCCTCAGAAGCCACCAGGGTCTGGGCAGAGAGGACACAACAGGCAGCTCCCCAGAGCCAGGCTTCCAGGGGCCACCAGGACCTGAGGAGCACCCCTTGCCACTCTAAGGCCAAGTGCAGCACCACTAGGGGCCTGGAGCACTAAGAGGTCAACGCAGGGGTGGCAGGTACCATGATGAGGCGCTGTGCCAGGCGGGTGCGGGCCAGGAAGTAGACGACACGCAGCCTCTTGGGGAGCCGCAGGTTTCGGAAGGAAGATGGCTGCAACGTGATGGTGTGGGGTGTGGACGGCCGCACAGCCAGCTGCCGCTCATAGCGTGTTGGCTGCCCAACTGGCTTGGCTGAGGGCAGGCAGGCCTCAGGGGGCAGCCGCTTGTTCAGGTCTGCTAGCTGTTGGGGACACAGTGGTCAGGGCCTGAGTCCACTATCCAGAGGCTGCCCTCACAGGACTACTGCCCTGCCCGAGGTCTACACCCCTGTCACCCAGGGCTCCCTGAGGACAGCCAGGGTTGAGTTGGTAGGCAGGGAAGGGCTCAGCCCACTCCTACCTCCATCCGGCGAATGTCAATGGACAGGACAGTGGTGAAAAACAGCATCTGAAGGAAGAAGTCAGACACCAGGCCCACCACGGCAAACAGACAGAACTCCTGGAATCAGAGCACACGGGGCGGTGTGGAGGGGAGGGTGCTGTGACCTTACCTCTCCAGTCCTAGAGGAGCAGTGCCCAGACTATAGCCACCTCAGAACCAGCAGGGCAGCAGCAGATAGGGCACCGCAGAGAAGAAGAAGAGATAATGGTTGGTCCTCAGCTCACACACCACCAGCAGATCATGCCATCTCCACCAGGGGGCAGCAGAAACCCTCACACTTTTTTCAGACAGGACTAAAAGTGGAGGGTACCCTCCCTGAATCTTCCGGTCTCCCTAGAGAGGACTGAAGGCCTGATCCAACCTGGAAATCTCTAAGCGCCACCAGCCTGCTCCCCCAAAAGTCCTTCCCCACTAAGTCCCCACGCTGCTCACGCAACAGCAACCCAGCCAGAGCCCAGGCCTGGTTCAGGGGCTCTCAGAAAGCTTCCCAGCCAGCAACTGCCCCAAAGCAATGAGAAGAGAGAGAGAGAGATTAATTCTCCTCTAAAACTGAAAAAGGGTGAGCTCTCTGCTCCCCAAGCTCTGTCAGCAGACAGAATTTTCTGAGATGTCAGTGTTGAGACCTCTAGCACATCACCACAGTGCTACTCGGATCTGGGGTAAGGCCACGGGGTGCAACAGTGGCACAGCGGTGTCTCAGCTCTAACGTGCCAAGACTGTACCTTGTCCTGCACTCACTACTGTTTTTCCAGGAGAAAAGGCCCACAGCCCATCTGTTCTCTGCTCATCCCCATCCCTCAACTGGCCTGCCAGCCCTGGGGGAAGGATGGGGAGAAAAGATGTCATCCTTCCCTTCTCGCAGCTCCTCGGAATGGCTGGCATCAGTCTGGGGTTCCAGCTCAGTGTAGGGCCACCTCCACCTCTGCTCACAGCCCACAGCTGAGCAAGGGCACTTTGCCAAGAGCAGGGTCACTCTGGGCAATGGGAACTGGCCCTCTCACAGGTCAGGCCAGGCAAGGCCATGCGTCTGGAGACTGCAGCACCCATCAGGGCCAAGGGAGGAGACCAGAGGAAGGGTCTAGGGACCCTATGGTGCTTCTCCCTCAGAAATGGCAAACAGATGTGACTGGAACAGCACAGCCTGTCCCCAGCTTCTGCCATGCCCTTGCAGCCTCCTCCTGCCACTTGGCTGAAGGGGAAGCAGGCAGGGAGGGGTAGGAAGAAAGGGTAACGGGCAAAGCCTGCCTGGCTAGGCACTCAATCTCGGAACCCAGCCAGGCTTTGCCGAACAATTCTGAGCCAGGCATGCCACTGGCCATCTGTGTGCTGCAGTGATCGGTTTGCCAGGCAAGGATGCCTGTGCTGGAAGAGGGGAGCACGCTGCCCATGGCTGCACAGCTGGGGAGCACAGCAGTTGCTTCCATGCTCATCCAGGTGGCAGGCCCTGGGGCCTTACCTGGATGGCGGGCACTAGGGTGAAGTAGCCAATGAGGATGATGCCCAGCTCCGTGGCCATGTTCTTCATGATGGACCAGCTCTCGCTGCTTAGGCCTGCAGAGGGCAGCAACAGGGCACAGGGCAGCACGTGGCTGCTCTCTGCAACATGACTCACACGACCTCATGGGCCTCGGAGTGGCAGAGGCATGGGGAGGGCCACCAGCTGTCTGAAGCAGCCATTCCACCAAAGTAACCCAACCCTCAGGACCCTGCCAATGCCCGGACTCTAAGGTGCTGTCACCACCACACAGCTGCTACAGGGAACAGGGGGGTTCGCAGCTTGGAGTGTGCAGGGGAGAGCTATAACCATCAGAAGACGGAAGCAGCAGTGTGGAGACGAGAAAATGCACAAGGATAGCCAAGTGCGCCCCACTCCAACCACATCTAACCTCCGCATGTGGTTCTTGTCTGGTCTGCACGGGTCAGTATGACAGTGTGCCCACCAGCCACAGGGCAGAAACACTTGAGAGGTGGAAAAGCTGGTTGTGTTCTTCCTCAAGCCCCTTCCTGTGGTGAGCCCCGATCCCATGCTATCACACTGTTGCATGTCTAAGGCTCGGAGCTCCTACTGGGTAAGGAGCATTTCGCCCCATCTCTTCCTAACTCCGTATCCAGCACAGAGCCTGGCCTATCACAGAGGCTTACAGAGGTTTGCTGGATGAATGGACGGCCTGCCTACAGCCTCGTTCCTCACAGACACAGGTGACAAGGAGGAAGAGGCTCAAGCGACCAGACCTCCAAGGCTAGGCTCTCCCTCTTCTCATGTTCCCTAGAACCCCAGATCCTCAGCTTCTACCAGCAGGGCCAGAGGGGGCTTTTCTGGCAGCTGTGAAGGCAGCAGATCCAGGGGCTTGGGCCTAGTGTGCTGGAGTGAGGCAGTAAGGGAAAATACTAGATGCTAAACTCCCCAGACAGAAAGCCACCACCAAACACAAGCCCCACCCACAGAGCTGAAGTGCGGTGGCGTGATCACGGCTCATTGCAGCTTTGACCTCCCAGGCTCAAGCAATCCTCCCACCTTAGCCTCTTGAGTAGCTGGGACCACAGGTGCATGCCACTATGCCCTGCTAATTTTTGTATTTTTTGTAGAGATGGGGTTTCACCATGTTGCCCAGGCTGGTCTCGAACTCCTGGGCTCAAGTGATCCACCTGCCTCAAGTGATCCACCTGCCTCAAGTGATCCACCTGTCTCAGCCTCCCAAAGTACTGGGATTACAGGCGTGAGCCACTGTGCCCGGCCTGGTTTGCTTTTTTTTGTTTGTGTGGTTTTTTTTTGAAACAGAGTCTCGCTCTGTTGCCAGGCTGGAGTGCAATGGCACAATCTCAGCTCACTGCAACCTCTGCCTCCCAGGTTCAAGCGATTCTCCTGCCTCAGAGTCCTGAGTAGCTGGGACTACAGGCACGCGCCACCACGCCCAGCTAATTTTTGTATTTTTCAGTAGAGACGAGGTGGGACCATGTTGGCCAGGATGGCCTTGATCTCCTGACCTTGTGATCCACTCGCCTCAGCCTCCCAAAGTGCTGGGATTACAGGTGTGAGTGGTTTGCTTTCTTACAGATATATGAACCAGGACGAAGTACAGTCCAGTGGCCCCATGGCTCCTCAGGGCACACACTCAAGAGCTGCCAGGGTCCAGTGGCCCACTACGTATTATGCTGGAGGCAAGAGCAAGGGACATTTCAGAGGCCCCTGTTTGCTCACAGAGTGTTAACAGCAAGAGGAACGGGCCCCTCTCCAGCCCCTCCTACAGGCCCCTGCCCACTCTCCCACTGCATTACCTTGGGCGATCCGCAGCTTCACCTCCAGGTCTACCGGGGTTGAGACCACAGACTTGGTGAGCACCAACACATTCTCTAACCCAATAACCACCACAAGGTAGGGGAAAATCTCGCTGGGGACAGAGAAGGAAAAAGTGAGGGACAGTGTTGTGGTGGTTCTCAACAGGCTTGTGCCCTTGGGAAGGCTGTGGGGTGTCCAGCCTCTCACAGAGGCTGCGGAGTGACTCCCACAAGCACTGGGCAGAAACCCTCCCCTGTCCACCTCACCCAACAAGGCCGGCATCTACACAGCGCCCAGCTTTCAGGCAGGCTCCAGAGCCTTACTGAGGGGCCAGCAGCCGTCCTGTCTCTAGCCATCCGGCATGGGAGGGCTGTGCGGCACCACCGCTAGACCACACTTCTCCTGGCCCTTCCCAGAAGACCGCTGGCTTAAGACAATGACTGCTGCCAAGACCCACACCAGGAACTCTGGGCTGACCCATCACAGCTAAATGAAAGGAGACGAAGCCACCCTGAAGACCCACTCACCTTTGCTGAGAAGCCATGTGTGGAGAAGAGCAACTGTTCCCACAGAAAGCTCTACCAGCTGTCTGAGCCCACCCTCCCACACCCCCACAGCAGACCCTGAGAAAGTCCATGTGTGAGGAACGCCCGCCAAGTTACACCCTGCAGAACCTCTGCTTTGGAGCCGAAGGAAGGGAGGGCCCTGTGGAGGGTATGGCAGACAGGATCGTGGAAGGGTGGTGTTTAACACCCTCAGGCTCAGGAAAGGGAGCAGGTGTCTAAGAACAAGGAAGTTACCAGAAACAAAACACAATGTCGCTTTTCCTATGAGCAGCCTGATGGGCCAAGGTTGGGGACAGGCCAATTCATAATCCATTAGTAACCACTAACAGACAGGCAGGTGGACCTAGCCAGAGCCAAGATCAAAGCCTGAGGACAAACCCAGGGAAGGGCTTCCAGATTAAGAGAGGAGTGGCAAGGGGCAAGTGGGAAAGGCGACAAATTACAGTGTACTCGTATCTTCCAAAGAGCTTCCTCTAAAATGACCTCTTTCATTAGGCACTAAAATGTTCTAATCATGAAAAAAAAGAAATGTTCTCTTATCTGTCTCACACCTTCAGTGGCTTAAGCCATCAAGCTGCGGTGTGTATATAAAATGTTTAAACAGACGCACATATCTAATTACACACATGCAATACATACTCATGTATACACATAAACACACACATACCAACACACCCCAAATAGACATACTCACCCAGCCCATAAATATATATGTTTGTACATATGGACACTAACTATAGCTAGATACGTTTGCTATATACACACAGGTATGAATGCCAGCCAGACAAAGAGGAAGAAAATGTACCTCTTAAATGTCAAAAAACAACAATGTGAAGACATGAGTTTACAGCAAACATCCAGTCCAGGGAAGGCCAAGTACCCAGAAGTGCAAGGCTCTCTGGCCGGCGGCCCACCCTGTGGCCGTGGAGCCTGCTGGGGACCTACCCGCCATTGAGGGTGGGCGTCAGGCCGAAGAGTGTGCAGAGTCCCACAGACATGAGCAGCGAGCTGAGCACCGTGACCACAGCAGCCAGGGCCAGCCCCCACTTGGACTTGACCATGTCGATCTTGCCTGGAGGGCAGGGAGGGCACATTAGGGTGGCCCCTCCCCCAGCCCCCAGCACACAGGGGCTCCCTAGAGTAGGGTACCTTGACAGTAGAGGAAGGGAAAGCTCCTGATTTCACCAAAACAAAGGGACAGACGCAAGCACTTCCCACTGTCATGAACAGCACACCTTTTAGGAACCCTAACCCAGGAAGGGGCTGAATGTGGAAAGAGCCCCGGCCCCACTCAAGCCCCTAAGACCCTGCTGGGGGATGAAGCCCTAGCTCTGGCAACCACCAGGTGTGTTCCTATATCTCTACCCGAAGCCACCTCCAGAGGCAAGGAACCAGGTGACATGGAAATGCCCATTTAGCTTGGAGAAAGCCCCTGGCCTCCCTGTCATGAACCTACGCGTAGAGAAGTAGATGTAGGCAAACAAGATGATATAGGTGGTCACGAGGGGGATGAGCTCGGCGACACCAATCTCCTCCTTGAAGTGGACGTGGACCAGGCTCTCCGCCCGAAGGCTGCAGTTGGGGCTGGGGTGCAGAAGCATCAGGCGGGCACGCAGGCTGCCCAGGAACCTGGTCAAGAGCAGGGTGGGGGTAGATGGAAGCGTCCCTCTTGGTTCCGGGCACAAAGACAATCCCGGACAGAGGGTCCATCAGGACCTCCCTCCTGCCCCTGTGTTGGAAGGGAACTTCCCTATGATGCCTGAGATTCTCTATAATCCCCAGGGGTGCTGGGAAAATCACAAAGGGGACAAAGTTTTCTCAGGATCTCCTCCTACTCCTTTCTCCATCTCCCCTTCCGGATCTACTACACCGCTCTTGATTGCCAGGAGAGCCTATCAGAAGCACCTCAAGTGCCTCTGCCAGTTGGGGAGCCACCTGCAGTGCCCCACCGGAAAGGACTCAGGCCATAGGGAGCTCAGTAGTAACCAGCTGGGGATGCCTGCCCTAGGCTCGAGAGACCAGAGGAGGCACCAGGACACGGAGACTGCCAGCCCCGCCTTAGTCCCCTACACTTAATCAGCTGCCAGGTCACCCCCATTAAAATGTGGCAGACAGCATCATTTAGTCTAAGGGATATAAACATTTCAACAGGAGGCCTGGAAACTCTCCAAGTTCCCAGGGGGGCATTCAGAACACTCTAACCAGAAGAGGAACTACTCAAAACCTCATGTCACTCAGCAGACCAGTCAGGAGCCCAGGGCGCTCTCAATCTTACTTGGCATGGTAGCGCTGGAAGACCAGGGTGATGGTATAGGAAACCATCCTCTTCCTGGTGTAGAGGCTCACCCCACTGTACTTCCCGGGAACACCAAACAACAAGTCTGCAGGCAGAAACCAGCAGGTACTGACAAGGAAATCACAGCTACTGCAAAGCCAACAAGGACCCCTTTTTCACCCCCACCCCAGGAAACAGGGTAAACTCTGATCCGCCTAAGTGCCCAACAAAAAGACAGTGACCAATGGGCACCCTTACATGTCCGAAGGGAACTTTTGCCAGGCCTACCTTTGAGTGTGGCTGACGTCTGCAGGGTTTTAGGCTCGTGCTGGTGGATGGTCCCGATGATGTCAGGATCAGCATGGAAGCGTTCCCAGTCATTCTGCCAGAAGTTCCCAGGGGACAGCAGCAGGCATCCATGCTCAGGGAGTAGGTTCCTGAGCTTCCTGAGGCCTGGCAGCAGGTCGGTCACTTGTAGACACAACTCCTCTAAGCTCCTGGTCCCCGAGCTATGCAGGAGACAGGACAAGGCACCTGCTATGTCTGCCACCAGAGGGCAGATCCGTTGTACTTAGGGGACGTCTTCTGTCTGTTCTTCAATGCCCCATATTTGCTCTGGTATCCCCAAAGAGCCTGACGATTAGGGCAGCAGGGCAAAGTACTTCCAGGTGGCCAATAACCTAACCGTGTCTGACTTTCAAAGTGCATTTGGGGCCCCAAAGCCCATCCCTTCTGAGGACAGGCAAGCGTACTATGGGAGCATGCACAACCCCACCCACTAAAACACCCTGGCCAATGCAGTGGATGACCAGGGACTGGGGTAAATTAGGAGCTTCATTTAGTTCATCAAAATATTTGTCAATGCCACTAGCTAACTAAAACCTGGCAGTGATGCAGCTTGCCAATTACACACATTGTATGCCAAGGCAGCATAATCCAGAGTCTCACTGACAGGCAGGGGAGCACGATCTGGGCTGGGGCTTCAGAAGGGACCCCCAGGTAGAGCTTGCTTCTCATCAGCAGAGACACCACCATTACACACCATAACCCAAAGGCAGGAATCCATGCCGGTCATGAGTCAGCTCAGTGGACACGGAGTGCATCTGAGATGTAAGGATGAGACTCAGGGCTGTGTGTGTGCCACTGGCATAGGTCCAAGGGCAATGCAGCCACCATGGACCCACAAGGATGCTGAGAAATTCAAGGCTGGCTCACCCTCCATCCTTCTTGCTTGTTCTATTTCTGCAAAGCTGACTGGCTCACTGGAGTTACAGTGAGGTCCGTAACTCTCCCTTTAGTACAGAATGGGACTCAGGGAGGCCAGGGACTCTGGGAGGGGTACCTGTCTCTCAGCACGTGGTTCCGGATCTCCTCCACCAGCTGGAATGCCCGGGACAGAGGTGAACGAAATACATCTACTGCCAGGAGGTTCTTGTGCCAGGGAAACACTGAGGACTTCACAAATATCTGCTGTACATAAGCCACCGGTGCACCCACATACTGCAGAAAAAATGAGGGAGGGGTGGAAAGAGCAGTTCAGCACAGGAGGAAGAAACATGATCCAACTCAAGGCACTGAATGGGCATCTGAAATCATGGCCCAAAGAGTTTAAGAAACCAATGACTAATAGAAGTTCTTGAGTTTGCAGGATGGCAGATAAGAAACAATTGGCTGAAATCCAGACACTCCCTCCACTTATGAGATAAAAGAACTGGCTGAAATAAGCTGGAACCAAGATGGCCGACAAGTTGTGCAGAATGAGCCTGCCGATGTCACAGCCTGAATTGCCACTGCATATTTCATACTAACTCCCCCAGAATTTGCACGTGGGACCCCATGAGGTGGCATGAAGAGATAACTGCATGCTTAAGGACTTTCCAGACATCCCCCTTCCTTCCACCAATCATCTGCTAATCCCAGTATTCACCCTCTAAACCTTTTCTAATAAAATTACTGCCTCTCCTGTGTTCGAATCCTAAAAAAAAAAAAGGAGAAAAAAAATTACTGCCTTAAATCCAGCACAGGGAGGCAGATTTGAGCTGGACTCCTGTCGCCTAGGGAGTTAACCTTCAATACAAAGCTTTTCTTTTCCCTGAATCCCAGTGTCATAGTATTGGTTTCTAGCACATTGGATAGTGAGCTCCTTTTGCTCAATAACACATCTACTATGGAAAAAGCACTGTGGGACCAGGTGTAGGCAAACTATGGCTTGTAGGCCAAATCAGGGCCCACGCCTGTTTTTCCTTTTGAGACAGGGTCTCCACTCTTGTCACCCAATCAGCTCACTGCAACCTCAATCTCCCAGGCTCAAGCAATCCTCCCACCTCAGCACCCCCACCCCCCAAGTAGCTGAGACTAGAGGTATGTACCACCACCATGCCTAATTGTCAAAACTTTTTTGTAGGGACAGGATGTCACTATGTTTCGCTTGAACTCCTGAGCTCAAGCAATCCCCCCGTCTCAGCCTCCCAAAGTGCCACACCTGCACACCTGGCTAACTTCTTTTTTTTTTTTTTTAATACTTTAAGTTCTGGGATACATATGCAGAATGTGCAGGTTTGTTACATAGGTCTACATGTGCCATGGTGGTTTGCTGCACCCATCAACCCGCCATCTATATTGGGTATTTCTCCTAATGCTACCCCTCCCCTCTAACTTCTTTACTTTCTGTAGAAATGGAGTCTCACTATGTTGCCCGGGCTGGTTAGCACCTGTTTTTCCACATCCAGTTTTTACTGAAGCACAGACACATCCCTACATTACTTTGTCTATGGATGCTTTCACTCTACAATAGAGAGTTAAATGGTTGCAACAGAGGCCGCAAAGCCTAAATGTTTATGATCTAGCCCTTTATGGAACATGTCTGCTGACCATACCATAAGACTCCATACTCCCCAAAGCATAGAGCTGTCTCACTTGCCCAGGGCTGTCACTTGCAGCAGAGTAGTGGGTTTTGAAGATCGGAGGACCCAATTTTAAAGCACAGCTTTCCAAATGTATGGCCTTGGAAATACTTTTGACGACTCTGGATTTCAATTTCCTCCTTGTGAAACAGGAATAGCGACATTCACCCTGCAGCATCAAGATGTATGCACACACCACATACGCACACAAACCGTGCCTGAGAGATGAGCAGAAATATTAGCAAGGAACAGTACGGATATCACTTCATCTGACCCCCAGGACAGCCTGATGAGAAGCAAGGAGAGGCTCAGGCATTCAGAGCTTCACACTCCAGGCAGGGTGGGGCAAGGACTCAAACCAAGGTCTCTTCACTAAATACCCTACACTTTTCTCACTAGAATCTGCCTACCCTTCAAGAGCTTATCAGGAATGTCAATGACAAGAGCGTTCGCGCACGCAATCTTCAGTGATAGGCATGTCGTGGGGTATCCCAAAACATATGCTGGGTCAGCCACCGCAGGGTCACGGCCCGGGAGAAGGTGAGTGTAGCCATAGGTTAGAAAAGAACAGGTGGGAGCGGGGCAACAGGGAATGTGAGTTGCAAGGGATGCTGACAGCACAGAAGGCCTGAACATCTGCACCAAGGAAACCTGTCAGGGGATAACAGAAATTATGAGGAAGATGACAGGCAGGCTCAGACCGAAGCCTGACTGAGCTGTCAGGATTTTAGTCAGTTGACAAAGCAAAGCCCAGTGTCTCTGAGGTGAAGGGGCAGCCTGATGAAAGCAATGCTCTGGAAAGACTCCCCTAGAGTTGGTGACAACTGGAGACAAGGAAAGACTGCCCACAGACAGTGGTGCACTGTGAGGTGTGGACTCGGGGCAGGGCTCAGCCCAGCTGAGGGATGAGGGAGTGTCTCCACACCTGGGCCACAGTCAGGAACTCCAAGGGGCATGTGTGTGAACGAAGGGGAGGCCGTGGAGCCACTTACCGATGCCATACTCCAGGTTACAGCATGGGCAAGGGCCAAGATGCTGACCAAGCACAGCAAGTTAATGCCTCCTGGGACCCTGGGCACAAAGGAACAATCAGAGATTTGTGAACTTTATGTCGCTGTGCCTTAGTGAGGACTCTGGGGACAGAAGGCCTCATCCACTTTGTCTTCTCTATCATACTCAGCCACTAGAAGCTGCTGGGAGGCACAGAGGCACCTGGATGGAGCTGGCTGCCACAGCCTGTGACCAGAACAGAAGCTCACATAGGCCTGAGCAACGCAGGAGCACTAACTTGGTAGGGAAGTGTAGGCAGGGCCCACACTCACTGCGCTGAGCTCCCACAATCCCTACTTAATATTCAAGAGAGAAACGGGCATGGAAACTCTGGTATCCTGAGTGGATGATGGAGGAAGTAAGGGTCAGTAGGGCCCAGATGTCCCCAGGCAAAAGACATCTAACTCCTAGTGTTCATGCCCTTGTACCATCCCATCCCCTTAAGAGTGGGCTGGACCTAATGATTTGCCTATGACGAACAAACACAGCCAAAGTGGTAAGAAATCACTTTTCCAATTAGGTTACAAAAGACTATGACTCCTTCTCCCACCCCGGCCCCCTTCTTTCGGGAGCCACCACTCTGAAACCAGCCACCACATTGTGAGCTGCTCAGGGAAGGCCTATGTGGCAAGGAATTGAGGGAGGCCTTCAGCCAGCACACAGTAAGGAACTGAGGTCCTCAACTAATGGCCTGTAAGGAACCTACATTTAAGTGAGCCTGGAAGGAGATCCTTCCCCAGTTGCCCTTTGAGATGGCTGCAGCCTTGGCTGATAACTCTACTACAGCCTTGTGAGAGACACTGGGCTCAAGGACCCAGATAAGAAAGCCATGGCTCAAAGAGATCATATGAAATGTCCAGAGTCACACAACTGATAGGCAACAGGGCCAGGATTGAAACCCAGGGCTGGGTAACTGAACAACGTGAGTTGCGTGAAGAAAGACACAGAAGGAAAGGCCTAGCACAAGCAGCGTGGGAGAAGAGCTGAGGTCCTGGGGGCCCCTGGGGTCTCTGGCCACCATGGTTCAGAGCATCAAGCTCCCACCCAGAGCTTCCTGGAAACTTTGTATCCATGCTCACACCGCGACCACAAACTGCAGTGCTGGCGTGGAAGTCTGGCATAGAACAAGCCCAGCTACCTCTGTGGACCTGCCAGCTAGGCCTTAGTACGAGGCTCAGATTTTTTTTCTCTCTCTTTTTTTTTTGAGAAGGAGTTTGTTTTTGTTGCCCAGGCTGGAGTGCAATGGCCCACCACAACCTCCGCCTCCTGGGTTCAAGTGATTCTCCTGCCCCAGCCTCCTAAGTAGCTGGGATTGCAGGCATGCGCCACCATGCCCAGCTAATTTTGTATTTTTAGTAGAGACAGGGTTTCTCCACGTTGGTCAGGCTGGTCTCAAGCTCCCAACCTTGGGTGATCCACCTGCCTCTGCCTCCCAAAGTGCTGGGATTACAGGCATGAGCCACAGTGCCCCGGCCAAGACTCAGATTTTCATAATGAGCCAGTCTTGGGGACCCAGATAGTGCTGGAGACCCCAGATTTTTGAAAAATAGAATCCTTCCTATTTAGATAGAGCAACCTAGAGCTCCAGGTATTTTACCTGTGCACCTGTGTGGGCTCCCTCAGAACAGGATGTGGAGGACTCCAGACACTCAGCTCTTCTAGAGAACAGGCTTCCTGATCCTTGCCTTCCAACCCTGGCAGGCAAGGGCTGTGGTGGGAAGAGCAGGCTCAGGAGACCTACCTGAGTTCAAATCCCAGTGCCACCGCTCCCTGGCTGTGTCCCTTGGATGATGGCCTCTATACTCTCCAAGCTTTGTTCCTTACTGAAGGAAATCAGAACAAAACCTCAGACCTCACCAGAACACCATGAGGACCAAACAAAACAACTCATGTGAACCATGAAGATCTAGCAAAGTACTGAAAATATATTAGTTTTATATATATCACTTCTATTATCCCTTAAAACTATGATGACTGGAGCTGGTGTCCCAGGCACAATCATTTCAGTCTACAAGTTTCTGCGAGTTCAATACAATGGGTCTTCTACCACCACTGTTATCGAATCATTGCCTCTAAGGGAATGGCTTCCCACTGTCTACAGAACTAAAGTTTAAACTTCACAGCCCAGGATTCAACTTGGTTCTACCTACCATGCTCCAAAAAAAGCCTGCAGATTCACTGTCTCCTAAATAAGCCACACTGCTTCTTTATTCAACAAGAAACCTTTCTTGGGCATCTACTATGTATAAAACACTGGAGTATATAAACTTAGGTGAAACATGACTCCAATGGCGTAGTCATGTAGAGCTCAAAGAAGCAGCTGAGGACATATTGCAAGAGAGCTGAGGAAGGCTCCCTAGAGGAAGTCACATCAAGCTGAGGGATAAAGCCTAAGCAGTGTACTTCTGGTGCACACCACAAGGCAGTCCAAGCACATGAAACCTCTCCCCTGTGCTTGACCAGCCAGACATGATCAATGACAATGATAACAATGGCGACAGCCACAAACATTTGTTGAATCCAAGCGATGAACCAGGAACTGTGCTA